TCTTGCAACATTGGCTGTTCCACAACTGAAAAACAAACATTCCAGTTTTCAAACAAAGCAACTTCTGAATAGCAATCTAAATGCTTCAAGCATGCCCGAGCATGCTTCATGTGATAAGGTCTTGTGCCAATAGATGTTTTCGCTTCTTACGCTCTGCGACTCTGCAAGGACTCACCCGGGCACCGAGCCGTGCCTCAAATCCTTCACTGACCTGAGATCAAGTAGGATCAAGTCGGACCAAGTTACCAACTTAAGGCTCACAAAGGCTTGTTGTATGCCGTGTACTTTGCAACTTGGGTGAAACATGAGAACTGGTGAAGTAGCTCATAGACAGCTTTCACATCCATCCATCAAACACACGGTATTCTGCGCCGTCCATTCTGCGCTCTACACCGTCACCGGCTGATCGCACGATGATCTGATCGCGCGAGATGGACCGCCACCTCTTGGCGAAGGTGGAGGCCTATCTCTTGTCTGAACTGATGCCATGCTCCCTGTGAAATGTATGCTCCAAGGTCTGGGCCAAGGTACTGTCGATTCGGTTGGAGGCCCCTTTTGGTTGAAGTAACTTGTAAGCATTGTAACCGTTTCACGCTAGCACTATGAGTCATCCGTGATCAAACACTGTCTGCTGGTCCACAGCAAGGGTGCAGTTGCTGGTCATGTAGTTGCCATCAATGCCTTACTTAGGAACAACAGCTTGGCTGAAGCATTCGACTGAAAGCGGCACCCTCAGTATCCCTAAGTGGCTCGATATACTCCAGCGCAGCGCAGTGTGGCCAAAAGTGACCCCCGACAAATTCTGTCAATGGATGCTGCACGTTGTAAAGAGTGAGCCTAAATGTCTTCTCACCCCACGCCCAACTTCCCTCTTCCTGGGTGGCTCACATCCTCTGGAGTAGTGATCGCAGCACCAAGACTTCTTGCCCTCCGACCAACCGGCTCTCCAATTCGCAAAGCCTGGAAAGTATACTGACTGAAGCACATGGTGTCAAGCCAGTGTCGAGAAAACAATGCGCACATGGTGTCAAGTAATGAAGAAGTTGCAGTTTTGAAAAGGGGCTCAGGAGATGTGTCCTTAAGAAATCAAAGTGCGGAGCTTCCTTCACCGTACATGTCTGAACCTCCAAAGATTCTTCCCCGTACACCGGAAAAAAAGACAAGAGAAACAACAACATCTGTGTAAGCAAGCTGTCCAGCTGCTAGCCGTTCGACCGACCAAAACACCCACACATTGGCCATCCACGAGTGTCGTTGGCCGTCTCAGAACGTCTTGGATGAGGCCAGCGGCCAGCGGTTCCAAGGACGAGTCAGGGTTGCATGTGTGTGTGTGTTTTCTTTTTTTTGAATCAACTTGTGCATGTAAAACACGTTCACTTTCAAGTCTCGCAGGCGTGACTTGAGTCAATTGCCATGCCTGCGGAGCAATCGTAGGAGTGGTGCTCATCATCCTTGGCATGTCTGCGTTTAAGTATGTTTAAGACATACAGAATCAAAGCATTTGAGTGTTCTTGGCGTGATTCATTATATAATGGTCTGTCAACTCCACTGCTCAGCACTGCTTGTTCAATACCTTTAGTAGCTGACCCAAGTATGAACTTTTGCTCCAGAAGTCCTCAAAGCAACCTCCGGCCTCTTTCTGTTCTGTTTCAGGACGCCAAGCGGCACAACCTACTTGGTGGTGCCAACAGCACCAAGATTTCCTGGGACGTCGAACCCCCACGTTGCGAAGGGACCATCGTGATCCATGTGGACATATGCCATTGCTGCAGGTCATCAAGTGTTCTTTAGAGCTAGAAGCTGAGTGGCCTCTATTTTGGACCATCGACCACCCAAATAGGTCCTTCACCTATCAAAAGAAACGTCCAAAATGGATCCTAGGTCACCCAAAAGGTTGACCCTGCAGCGAACTCCTAGGAGCAAGCCGCTGCAGGACATTTTCTCCGATTCGCAGCTGGAATTGAACGCGAGGTCCATTAAGGTACTGACTCCTGATAGGTTGTCATGGCACCCTCCTCGCAGCAGGTTGTTGCGGACATGGATGTTTTCCCATGAAATTGTCCGGAGAAACTCTGTTGTGAGGCCAGGTGTGGAAATATTCCCCATGAACTCGCTCATCCTGACATGTCTCTTTGGCAATGAACCCATGAGAAATGTAAGAATGATTCTTCAGAACACCGCTTAAAACAGAGATGTGCGCAATGATTCTCAGTGCGACACATGCAAACCTGAAACACCGGACTACCGCCCAGCCGTGTTCGACGAAATGGGTATATGAACGAATGTGTGGTCAAAAGAATGTTGAAACGGACATTTGCTTGTGATTCCGTAGAGTAGCTCTTCAACGGACACGTCGTAGCAGAACTTGAAATCCGGACGACAAACCTTTGCATTTCTCCTGGCAATCGTAGCTGCAGCCCACGTTTCTGTTGCTACAACACCAACCCTGCGAGGGAAAGCCACGCGCGGGACACTCCGTCTCGCGTCTCGGGTCGAGATCTGAAAGCAGACGGGTCGAGAGAACGGGGTCGCCTTCAACATCGAGGGCTTGGCCACCCAAAAGCGAAGGGAAAAGAAAAGGTTTTGACTGCAATGCTCACGCAAAACCTTCTCGACTAACGATCCAAGAAAAAAAACAAAACAAATTCAGCTGCCTTCTTGTCATCAGACCAGCCGCTCTTCCAATTGGAGCGCCTGTAGTTGGGTCTCTTTATAGGTTGCTGTTCACAACACATTCCATTCCAGGTGTCTTGTCAAAAAGGCGTGCAATGTTACTGCTGGTGGCCCTATCAGTTCTTCTCGAGTTGTTGTTTCTGCATTGTTGCCAGTGATTAGCCGGAACACACTGATTAGCTTCACAATATACAAATGACAAAGGCATGTACCGCTCGTTGTGTACGAGGAGTTTCCATCAAAGGGGTCGGGTATAACTCAAGACTGTGAGATTTAGTTTGGTGATTGTCAACAACCAGGTTGGATGGAATGCATAATCATATAGCTTGTCATAGCTTCTCATAGCTGGGATTCCCCGCCCAGCATCACAGTCATAAGCAGCTGCGTCCGTGGTTTCAACCACTGGAACTTGCTGTTCAACCATTGGCACTTGCTGTTCAACCAGTGGAACTTGCTGTTCAACCACTGGAACTTGCTGCACCACGTGTTCTACCACGTGATGCACCACGTGATGTATCACTGTCACTGGAGCTGCTTCGGTCACCACCGGTGCAGCTTCAGTGACCACTGGAGCTTCTGCCGTGACCGGAGACCCAGTAGGACAACCCAGAGTGTAGGTCTTGCAGCAGTAGGCCTGGCTAACAGGTCAGAAAACAACAAAAAATTAAGCTAAGTGTTTCAGAATGCTTCCCGACAAACTCCTGACATGTTTGCTCACTCAAAAAGGAAGACTTAAACTTGCTGAATGTTTGATTAATTTCTTTAGTCGCAATTTGCTCCAAAGGCTCTTGCCCAATGTCAAACGTCCTGAGATTGCACAAATTGTGAAAAAGCAAGTCCCTTGCTTCAGCTTTGGGGTCTTCGGTGTGTAAAAAACGATCGCTCTTAGGTTGGAGGCCATCGCTCGTAGTCACTTGGAGTCACTCGGAGTCACCGCAAAAAAACTCGCCGTAACGACCCACGTCGACGGTGCCTTTTTTGGCCCAGACCAAAAGTGGTGCCAATTCTTTAAATCCTTTCGGCAGTCAAAGTGCTCCATGTCATCCCTCAGTGATTGATTCCATGCAATCCTTTTTGATCATGGTCCTTCACACAATGAAAACGATGCCAGCACAGAAACCACTTGCAGCCCAAGCACCCTTGGCAACCACGTTGATGGTTCTCGCAGCACCATTCCTCCGAATGTTGTTCCCCTTTTGTTCCAACGACAACCAATCAACTATATAAATCTATTGGTTCGGTGATCCTTGTCTTTATAATTGCCTTCTTGTCCACTTGCATCTCAGTTTGAACAAGAACTGAGTCAATGTTTTTCATTTCAAAGAAAACTGAAAACACACCGACCAAAATCAATATGTCAAGGCAATCGCCAGGCCTTCTTAGACATTGACCAACCCTCGCGCCAATTCTCATAACCAGCATCGCAGTTGTAGACTTCGGCCACTGCCTTTTCCACAGGATCTTTGCACTGGCTTTGAATAAGAAACAATTAGGTTGGAGGCCATTACTATTAGTTTCCAGGCCATCGCTATTAGGTTGGAGGCCATTGCTATTCTGAGGCTCTTGTTGCAGTGCCTTAGCTTTCGGGCACCCACGGTCTTCATGGAGACCTCGCCAGTGACGGAATATTTTGGAATTGCAAGCACGTTTTCTATGGATTTGTGGTCTGACCCGCCCCCCCCCTTTACCATTCCAGCCTACAAACTAGGCCTCTGAGGCCCCTGCAGCACCATAGTTTCTTGCGGTCGGACCAGCCCTCCTCCTCAACCCGGACTTGATCAAATTCCAAATTCAATCACTTATCAAATAATTACAGTTGCAAGCGCTCGCTGATTCAAATTTAGATAGGTGATTGTAGGTGTATGCCAGGAATGAATTGTTGCGAGACGTTACTACCACAATATGTCAGAACCAAAGAGATTGACAACTTGACGGTCACGACATGTTCCGTCTTTGTTTCAACCAATTTAGTGATGTCAACAGACTAACAATTAAAAATCATCCACAAGCCAACCGCGTGCTGAGGCCAAAGCCGAGTTGGCGCCTCCGGCAACACAATCAAAGCTGTCGCCTCGGCTCCCGCTGTATCACCGCCGTTGGAAAAGTTGGTGATCAGCCCGCAATTGTCGTTGGCTTCTTTTGCATTTTTTTGGCGCAACGCGCGCATGCGGGTCTTTCTGTTCTGGAAAACCCTGACCTCTTCTTGGGCAGGGAAACGAGGCAAAAGCTTCTCATCCATGGAGGAAGATAGTTGCCCTTGGCCTTTGATTTCCAACTGATGTGTTCGCTTGGCTCTATGGTCTATGTCTGGCGGTTTCTTCGGTGTAGGCTGGTGCACGTGTCAGGCCAAGGGAGGCTCACCTCCCACAATTTCAATGCAGCCCCTCAAAGGTTCATTAACGCTAGACTGAGACTGCTCGGGTCTCAATCATCTTGCATATCCTGAGCTTGTGATGGGTCTTCTGGAGGATCCCAGGGGTTGCGCATGTCCAGCGGCCCATCCTCCTTGGCGATCAAAGCAAAATGGAACATGGTCCATCTAAACATTGCAGCTCGTGGGTCTTTAGGTCATCAATCAAGTGAGTCGAACTTCAACGACAGACTTGGAAGGCTTCGCGTGCACAGTATCTCTGTGTCATGCGGTTGCACAAGTTCCACCATGCTTATGTTTGGGGGAGTGCGAACATGACTTCTTACATGAACAGTTGCTTCCATTGGGAGCCGATCCGCAGTCTGTTTCCAGCTTTGGTTTGGATATCGAAGGTCTGAACAATGACGCTTCCAGCTAACAAATCCAGACCGGGACAATCTGGGACATATGACAAGTGACAACGAGCAAAAAGAACAACCCCATGCCCCATAACTGCTGGCATGGGCTCTGTCATCACGATCATTCCTGTGATTTCTCCTTAGGGCGTTAGTTAACATCATGGACTTTCCACACAAACAAACTGATGGGAGTCCTCTCGGGAAAATGTACCAGAAGTTCTCTAGACACTAGCGCCTCCAGGTCATAACTTAACGCTCTGCCACGTCTGGTTAGGTTTGCATAATATTCTCGCCGACAGTGACCGATCCCCCAAGAGCCATGTCTCCACATGGAAACACAGCTGTGAGTCGAGTCCAACGTTCAGTCCAAACTTCATGATCCTTTATTGGATGGAACGGCACATCCTCTGAGCCTCTCCACAAACTCTGGCCCGGCCCTTTGTGCCATGAAATGCTGTGCACAAGACAAGCTCTTCCCACTGCAGCTTCACATCCATCACTTTCCAAGAAACTGGCTTCTGCATAGATCTCCTTTACTTCTTCCCAATCTGGACCACCCACCTGTGTACCTACAGTAAGTTTTCCACTCAGATTTTGGAAATGAACATAATCATGCGGCTCGTTGAGTGAAAAACGAATCTCATTGTTGCACCTAGGGACTGTCTGGGTGCTCAAACTGATTGTACAAAGCCAAGCTCAGGCGCTTCCTCAGCTGATTTTTCGCTCATCACAAGAAGGATTCCAGGCGAAGAAACTTGTCAAGTGGAGCTCATCACCCGCCCAAGGTACACTCGGGGGTAGAGCTCCAGGAGCTTCGCGTGCCTCGGGTGTTTTTGGACCCACCGGAACCCATTTTTTCGACCCGATGTCTCGAGTGACGAAAAAAACCGGGCTCAGCTTCAACATGAGCTGTAAAGGGCGGGAACACATGTGGGTGGGACAGTGCGGGTTAGCAACTGCCGAGAGAAACATCCTGCAGCATTGTGCCGAACTCCATTCCAAATCGTTCCAAATGGTTTTAAAAGGTATGCGCAATTGATCCAGTGCTAACCAATCTGAAACAATCTGAATGGTCATGGCTACCCGGCTAATTACCGTCCACTCTCGCAAGTTTGGCCTTGTCACATGTTGTTCAGATTGTGCTTTCTCTCCGCATGCATGCAGCTTGTGCAGCTCTGTCAGAATACTAGCCACTGACAAGCTATCCCTTGGTGGTATGCGCAGCAAGGTGCGCAGCAGGCCGCAGGCCGTCCTTATCTCTGGACCGCTGCTGGATAAAGCTTTCGACTTGCTTCGCCTGCAGGAAATGCTGGACTTGCAACGTGCCTCTTGCTTCGCTCCGTGCAGGGAGGAGCCTGCCTTCGAAGCCAGTAGCTTTCGCTGATTCTTCCTGTGAGACTTCTCCTCCACAAGGATGAGGAGTTTGGTGTGAGGTGTTGAAAAATGTTGAAAACATGTTTTGGCAAGGCCAAACTCAGGACACGAGACCTCTAAAGCTGCTTTGTTGGGAAGAAGAGCTAGAGCTCCGTCTCAAATTGCCAATACGTACTAAAATCTAAGGAAACGCAGCACCACGAGACTTCCCAAATCCTGGGCTGCTCGAATTTAGAACCCCAGCATACCCCCGCCCCTGCGTAGGACCTTGGGCATCACACGGTGGTAAAAGTAGTCATAAGTCATTGTAAACAAACAAATCAAAGTATAGTCTGCAACAATCTGTAATATATATTGAACTTCTTTTGGATAGGGCGCAATTGCTTGCAATTGGTCTTCCTATGTCCTCCTCCTCCTCCTCCTCCTTCTGCCACTTGTCTCATCTCTCGACCGACTCCTCTCCGTCCGCTCCCTCCTCCTCGAGCTTCTCGGCCGCCCTCTGCTGCTCCGCCTTGACCTGTGCCTCCAAAGCATCTTTTCGTGCCTCGTCCTCTCGGAGTTGCTCCAGCAGAGCCTGCACTCCGTTGAAACGGTCATCTCATCTTAACGTGTCTACTCTCCGCATGTCTTGGATATAAATCGTGTTATGCCATGCTTACGCTGGGTCATGTCTCACCACGTGTTGATTGTAAAAAGGCCTCCTGCGGCTTCAAACATGTCTTACAAAACACATCAGATCGCTGTGACTCTGACTTTCTTGCTTCTCCCGGCAATTGGGTTTTTGTTGGTGGGTTTGCGAAGGCTACGTGCCCTGTAAGCCTCTGAATCTTCTGAGACTGTTCAGGATAAATAAACGGTCTGGCCGATCAAAGAACCCTGCAAGAAATGCCCACATCAAGAATTTGTGGCGCAGTCGAATGCCCACACAAGCAGAATTATGAAGTCACATTGTGCAAAGCAGCTTGCATAGGTTGCATAAATGTTGGTAAATGTAGTATTATATTGCGTAATAAATGCAAATATGATAACTTTATAGAACTTTTACATAATTTGAATGAGCGACAGCGTTTTAAATGACAGGAATACAGCCACCGGACAACCTCCAAGCGAATCTAAACATGCCGAGTGATCAAGCGTGATTCATTTAACACAAGTCCAGGAGAGAACTATCAATCTCAGAAAACCAATGACACCGAATCAAATCAACAAAGTGCAGGAAACCAATTGCAGGCCTCTTTGGTGATTGTTGCCTTGGTGATGCTATCATGTCGTGTGCATCAAGCATATGCACTCGTCGATGGGACAAAAACATACGCCGCCTTTGGACAATCCCATGAAAATGATGTGGTACAGTGAGTGCACTCCTGGCAAAAACATGCAAAAACAAACGATCCAGTTCCGCATAGTTGCCCCAAACGCACCCGAGGTCATTGACTTTTATTCCTTCGTTACCTCTCTACATTCTAGTCACAGGGTGTGAAGGTGTTCCCCAATTGCCAATCGTCCCAATCTGGCCACCCAGGGGGACCATTTCCAAATCAAGGTCTGAACTGGACCAAGAATCATTCTTTGCTTTCAGAGCGTCCAATCTCTCACAGGTGTGTTGGTACCGATGAGTATCGCACAGCACCCGCCCGCAATCACGGCACCAAAAGGTGTCCTCAGCAAATCGGCGCGCTTGGCATGCAAGGACTATGACCCCAGGTCCAAGCTGTTTGGCCGTCGAAAGGGGCAAACTCAGCGGAATTTGGCACGGGGGCTTGTATGATTTTGCCCCGCTATTTGCCACGCAGTTTTCGTAATTTTTTGAACCTGGCACGAATGCGTCCTCTAAACAACTCAAGTGAAGGCCGATACTGAGGAAAGGAACTCTCACATGTCACATATTGATGGGCCTGTGGCATTTGTTTAGGAGCCACATCCCTTTGCGAATTCGACCTTTCACATGGACATCTTTATTTCTTAGAGATCTCCCACCCCGTGCCAACCTGCTGCTCTCTAAAGAATCAGCATCCATCAGAGAAAAGCATCTAAAAAGTGAGGTTAAAAGTATATACAAGCACTAAAGAATCAGACCTGCTCAACTCAACCTCAAAAAAATAACACCATCATTAACTTAATAATCTGACACTCCGTGTTCGAGTCGAACTGTCATGAACTGTCGCTCGAGAAACCTTGCTTTCGTCACCCGGTCACCCTGTCACCTGTCCTGCTCAGTAACTTTGCTTTGTTGCTCAGCAGCTAAACTGTGCTGCCAAGGGTCCATCATGCTCTTGACAATGACCTGGCACTGGGTGGCAGTCTCTGCTACACTACAGTATATGTTTTGCTCGCACAATGAAATCAGCATAGGACAGACACAAACATCTCTCTACACACCATAGGCCACAGGCCCATTTACGCTTCCACATTGTAATTGTTTGGGCATTGGGCAGTCCAAAGCCGGACTGTAAAGATGAGAAACATTCATAAGTCGGGGTAGTGTGTGCAAAGGCAGCCCAGCCACTGCCATGGTCTCTTTGTACTTCTTGGCGAGGCCACAGCTACCAGCGCATTCAGCGCACTTGGTCTTCATGAAAGCCTGGGAACCCTCACCCAAATGCCTTCCTGGACGCTAGGGTAGCATAAAGTGAGTGGCACATCTTGGCAAACAAAGGGAACATCAGGACATCGAGGCGTTCCGCCCGCCTTCTTGTCCTTCAGGATGAGCCCTTCGAGCTCCTCGCATCGACACATGGCGACGCATTCGCGCCTCTGCGCTGTGTGCGACGCAGGAGGCCCGGAAGCCATTCGTGTACAAAAAGACTCAGGTCCTTCCACCACACCCGGAGTCCACCCTGCGCCCTTTACAGAACATGTAGAACATGAGTTCAACATATTTCACCCAGAACCACACGCCACGATTTCCAAACTCGTTTTTTCTTGCTGAGTCCGGAGTCCGGTCCGAGTCCGACCTCGCTGTTGAAGATGCTGCCGCTCGCTACGGTGCCCGAAGCGCTCAGCCGGGCAGCCGCTTCCATGGCCGCTTCCGCTTCCGAGCGCGGTGCGAGTTTCAGGTACTTGAGCCGAAGCGACGCGAAGCGAATGGAACGAATCCCATGCGCGAGCCAAGGCAGTTCCGTCACGACGACATTGACATTGAAGCAGCCAAACCAAAAAAAGAAAACAGCGTATGCCAATGCCACACCAAAGTCCACCAAAGTCCAAATGACTCAATAAAAGTATTCAAATGTCATACACAAACTCAAACCAATTGAAAAAGATTGTTCATCGATGTCACTCAAGCTCAACAAGTGGCATAGGGAATCTCCTAGCTTGGTTCCTCAAGGTTCAGACCAGCTCCGTGCTCACAGCCAATCCCTTTGTTGCTACAGCACCATTCCTTCTTGCCTCAAACGCCATGTTGGCAAATGGCACCAGAACGATTTCGAGCACTATATACATGTTTGATCATGCTTGAGAGGTTTAAGAGGTTTCACATGGTTTCACAAGACTGGAGGCTGTCATGAGGCCCAAACGTGCATTGGTCGCAGTTTGTTTCGCAAAACGATTTGATGCGTGAAAGAATGGGCCCACGGCCAATGGAAGACTACCATGGATGATCCAAGGCCCCAGCCGTGTGACCAGCCTGCACGCATGGTGTGCCCAAAACGGAGAACCCAAAGGATGAGAATCTGCTGCCCAGGCGAACTTCCACGGCGCGTGTCGTTGAGGGCGGAAAAACCATGCATGTCACGTATCTGTCGTTATGAAGTCGTGTGCTATAAAAAGAAGTGGCATGGGAAGTTGCTTTGGCACTCACACAGTGCAAACAGGATCCGCGACCTGGTAAGCAGCCTGTTTGTTGTGTGAGTCGCTAGAGTTTCAGCATGTTTCAGCAAAAGCCCCGCCATGCTGTCATACCAGCATCGGATAGGAAGCGTGGCAGGTATGAAAATGCTTTGCCACTGAAAGATAAGAGCAGAATGGAAGCAATGACCACGAAGTGGTTCGAGTACAGCAGAACCTAGGCCTAGGCAGTCTTCTGAAAGGAAGGTGAATCAAAGTGCTGCATGACAACTGAACCGTGTGTAGCAAACATTAGGGAAATGTGCGAAATGTGCGGCAGTTTCTGGGTGAAAGTGGCAGCCCTGCAGCAGCAGTAGCATAACACTGTGCAAGGTATGTCTTGAATCGTACTTATACTGATACTTATATTTGATCAATTCCAAAATTGATGGGGTCATCAGCCCCACCCTGCAATGTCAAGCACGGCCTGTCTGCCACTTCTGCACTCCAGCAGCACAATCGTACCTGACATGTTCGATTCTCGAAATTCTCACCCCAGATGCGTACAAAAAACATCTCCAGCTATATCATGGGCGTTCATTTGTGGGGGCTATCATGAATGTGCAAAAGGATGACAATAATGGTGGGCTACCATTGATATGAATAGTGGGCGTAAGGAATCGCCCCATGATATGCTTGTTTCCACTTTCCAGATTTCTTTCCTGCAACGCCAGGCCCCACGAAGACGTGAACGCCAAACCGTCCCGGCGTCCCTGCGGCACTTGGACGGGTGGACGGGCACCGAGATCCACATCTAGGCCAGCTGTGAGGTGAAACGGTGCTAAAACTGGCTGTTTGGAGCAAACAACTCATCAATGTAGACTCTGGATGATATTTCAACCTCCTAAACGAAGCGCTTTTTGTTCAATCCAAGTTGGGGAGTTATTTAATCAAGAGTCTACATTACAGGTCTGCAGTCTTTCCAGTGAGGGTCCAATCCAAAGCCCGCAACTGCTTGAGTGAACAGCACAATCAGCCTTAACACAGATTTAATCTAGACACATGCAAAACTATATAATACTATATATAGAATTATATAGTATACGTACACCATTACACTGGATTGCGGCCAATTTGCATTCCCTATAGTTGGTTTGCACATCCCGAAGGCCCATGAAACTGCAATCCCCCCAAAGTAATTCTGGGAGGCAAACAGGCGACATCAGGCGACCCTATTCGTCGTGAGTGATTCCTTTGCGCCTTCACCGGGCCACTATAGAGTGTACTATAGCGTGTATTTTCGCACATTTGCGTGCTGCCAGTGTGGAAGGGTCACACCTGGCTACCTTATGCTACCTCACCGTGAAGCTCCCGTGGAGGCGACCATTTGGTCCTGAGACGTGCGTCCAAGATGCATAATGCTTCCCCTTCGTTGTCGTGACCTTGAGCCGGTGGGTGGGGCATCCTTTTGAAGTCCTGAACATTCCTGAACATTCCTTTTGAATGAACGAAAACGCTCATGCCAAGAGCAGGCCGAACAACCAGACATAGATTCTTCCAAGCACCTATCCCAAAAAGGGTCCTGTCTGGTACAGTGGGGCATGGAAAGCAACTAAACACAAGTGCATGTGTTTCCCTTGGAAGAAGCGTTGAAACTCGAACCTTGGAGATCTGATGGAATAACTTGTAAGAATAGCGAGGTCAATGGCCTCCACACCAAGAGCGATAGCCCAATAGCCAAATAGAAGCACCCCAATTGACTGAGACTGATGACCAACTCTGGGATGCCTGCTATGTGCCCTGCAGGCAACATAGAACCCCGTGACAAGTTCCGTGCCCTGAGCATCCCGACCGTTGTGGAAGGACACCTGGGCCGTTTGACTCTTTTCAACTTGGGTGTTTGTGCGGTTTTCACTTGCACCTGCGATCCGTTCGTGGGGACTCTGGATCTCTACTTACTGCTGTTTGCTAATGTTTCTATCTTTTCCGAATGTTCTCAGCTACAGGCCCAGTGTCATGATGCTCACAACACCATTCTTGATGAGCATCGGACCTGGACACCATTGGGATCCATTCGGGATCGCTGAACACCGCGCGCGTGTGTCACATCTCTGCACCCACACGAGTCGACCAAACCCGAACGCAGTCGACCATGTTTGGCGACGCTACGAACGTAGCTCCAAGTGCCTTAAGTACTAGCACATCGCTACGAACGGAGCAAGAAGCTACCAGTAGCTCCTGGCATTACTACTGGTAGCATGAAGCTGCTACTACTACTACTACTACTCCTGCTACTACTACTACTACTACTACTACTACTGTAGTAGCTATTCGCTACTAGTAGCGGTGCACCTGTTACTAGTAGCGGCGCATGTTCCTCAAACAACGACACGTCCTGAGCCACTTGCCACTTTGTCATCCATTCACTTGTGTAGGTGCAGTCGTAGGGAAGCTGAATCTGATCGTGCCTGGCCAATCCACCCTTCCTCAAACTCACTCTTAAACAAATGGCTGGAAACTGTTGCTCATATATTCATCCTGCTCCTCTCATCGCACTCGTGATCTTTCATGACATAATACTACGCGCGATGACTGACTGATGTGATCCCGCTTCGTTGGACGGTTGCGGTTGCTGGTCAAAAGTTTTCCCCTGTCTTAGTTCATCCTGAGTGCCAAGCTGTTTTCCAGACCAGTACCCATGAACTGCGTTCACATGAGGTGCCAGGTGCGTTTGGTAGGCGTCGGATGCCTCGGGTCGTCGGATGCGTCAGATAGGACCAGTCGCATGAACCTCTGCTGAATTGATGCCACTCCATTCAGCATATTGTGCCCTCGGCCCAGGAATGGGCCGCATCCACATGCCTGAGACATGAGATTTGGAGCAAACCACTGGAAGCCAATGGGTCCCGTTTTCCGGTATAAAGCTAAAAGCTCCTCGGACCTGTTATGGTAATGCTAGAAATGGACATCAGGTTTGAACTCAGAGGTCGACCCCTGCAAGTGCTGCTGGTACACGTTATGGGCCTCGATCACCACCAGCATCTTATGGCAAAGTGACTTGTGCCAGCTCAACCCAGCTCACATATGATTGAATAGGATTGAATAGAAAAGGGCTTTATATATTTTTATATAACTATAAATATCTATAATAAATATGTAACTGTGACAGCTGTGACACTGTGATGCCCATAGGGCTTGGTCAGCAGAAGAAAATAGGCTACCCTGCCCAGTTGCCCGCGGTGCTAAGATGCCTCAGCCATATCAAGTCGTGTTGCGCTCACTTCTTGTGGGGCTTCTTTGCATGGTCACTCTCACAGGCAGCCCAGAGGCATTCCAACAGAAACACATTCTCAGTGCCGGACCCCCCTGCTGCTTCCACGTGGCCTTGCAAATGCTGCTGGTAGGTATCCTCCACCTGGCTTTCTTCGAGCAAATTGACAAAGCCCAGTGGCCCATCCAACTCTGGCTGGGGCCCCAGCCCACTGTCCTGCAGCATTGAAGTGCCTGCAGAAGTCGACCCGGTCCCCTTTGAACGAAGGGTTCAAAAGCCATGCGAACGTAATTGATGAAAGACAGTGCCACACGTGGCTAATGTAAACCAAATCTAATCTGCCTGAACCAACATGATCACAATTGATCACAACTAACTAATGGCAAGCATGATTAAGTGGAAAGTCTATGGAGCAAGACCATGCACAGCTCAGCCATGCTCAGTCACGAACCCCTTCAGGTGCTGCTGATATGCACCATGTGCCTCCAAAAGGGAAAGCGTGCGAGAGAGCGCAGGCTTATTCTCAAGTAGTTTCCAATATGTCTCTTAAGTGCTCGTGGTGAAGCGGTTCTCTATCTTGCTTTGGATTTGGCTCTTGCCAAATTGATCTAAATTGCAACGAATAACAAGGACCAAATTGAATAGAAGTCAGAACAGCCGATGGAAGAAACCCAAAAAGGCACTGGGTGCCCCCACCCACTGCCCGGCAGCTTCTGCATGCCTGCTCAAGCACTCGTTTGCATTCTCTACTGCAAGCCTGTGAAATTATCATTCTGTGATATGAGATGTCGGTGGAGCAAGAACCTCACATGAGTTTGTACCACCATTGCAAGCAAAGGCTCAAGTGAGCACGACAAAGTGTTTCGGGCTTCAGCAAATCAATAATGAGCAATCGGCTGGCCCATGCCCTCCACATGCGGCTGCAAGTGAGTCTGGTAGTTCATTGTAGCCTCTCAAAGCACAGGGCGTGGATGAATATTGGTGACTACGGTGGCCTCGCCATGCACATTCACATCCACACAAAAAACATCAGAAACACCTGTGGTTGTCTGGGCTTGTCCATTCGGCGCATTGTCAATTGTCGCCAACGTCTAGGGCACGAACCCACCCACGAGCATCGCGCATCTCTTCTGGTGCGAAGTGTAACAAAGCCGCCTCAGTGCGAGGCAAAGTGCCGCTACTGCTTCAGTTGTCAACTGCACACACGGCTGATCCCCAAAGACCGCGACTGTAGCGATCATCAAGCAAGCCAGCAGGCAGAAGACAACCTCAAGGAATGGCTGTGTAGCTGGTCGGTAACCACATGAATCATCCAGCTACGGGTATTTGTTTGCTACTTGCTCTACCTATATCAGCCATTATCAGCCTATATCAAACCCAACACGCAAGTACCCTCACCCAGCTACTTATAACTTATTGTGCCCTGGTTATGTATGGTGAGCGGCTACCTCCGGGACAATTGCCAAGTCGTGTTTCCAACCTGCTTTAAGAGGCCTATGTCAATGTCGGCTGGACATGCCATCCGGCATTTTTACGATCATCTCCCTAATTAAATAAACAAGTGCCTTACTAGTAGTAACAAGAAGCCACTAGGAACAAGTGCATCGCTATTAGTAACAAGTGCCTTACTAGTAGTAACAAGAAGCTACATTGTGCTTCTCGTCCCTTCTGCCGCACGTTTTGCGCCTGAACTAGCCCACCCGCTGGCGAACAAGACATGGATGTTGGATAATGGATTCCTCCAGCTCTTGCTGGCAAACGCAGATCCAGTCTCCTTGCAACTGAGCTTCCATGAAAAACCTCAACGGCACTGAGATGGAGAAAACAAAGCAACTCAATAAGCAAGTCTCATAGTCTGTCTTATAATCCTCCGACGCTACGCTACACGTTTCTTTTGGGTTGAATGCTTCGAACAACCACCAAAGCAGCTGGGCCAAAGCTCTGTCTCATTGATGGCGATGCTTCAGTCACCCCCTAATTGACTAATTGACCGTAGCACTGATCGTATTGGAGGCGGTGCCTGGACCAAACTGAGCAGCAACCATCGTCTCCACGCGAAGGTTGAACCTCAGGGAGAGACGAAATCATGCAAAAGAAAGCTGTGGCGAGGAAGCAAATTAAATCGCAAATGAAGTGGCTGGGAAAGTGATGTGTTCAAACAGTCGCTTTTGCATCGTCTGCACTTGTCCGATCCCAATGACTCAAGAATTAAGCTCGCAGCAGGGCCATATGGATAGCCTGCGCCGGGACAGATTGACCGTTGATCCCTGAAGAAGCCGCACATGTGGCCCCTGCAAGCCCTTACCAGCCCAGGTGCCTCCAACCATAGCTGGCGCCCTATGAATTGGAGGTGCGTCAATGTGAATGGCTGAACGGTGGGATGCTTTGCAGTGCTGAGACTTTCAAGGAAGATATGTCGAGTCGTGGAGCTGTGGTCTGAGACTGAGCTGGCCAAGCGGTCGGGGGCAGTCGAAGTCGTCTGAAGGGTGAGGAGAGAGCATGTCGACAAGCTCGGTCAACTTGGAAAGGAACCACCATTTCCTATTTGTTGTGTACTGCGAGTAGAATTCAACAACTCATTGCCATGGCGCGCATGCGAGATTCCCATTCAACTCAACTCTCCTTTTTTGCTAAAGGAGCGGCCTTTTCTCGACTCTTTAAAGGTGCCTCATCACTGCTGCCAGAGGAAGACAAACAACTAGTGGCAGTGTCCTGTGCTGGCAGGGCACACGGTGCCAGCAAAACGTGCCTCAAAATTGAAGCCAAGAGGGGGATCTCACAGTTCATCGTGAAATGTTCTGACGGTCAGACGCTCTGAGGAGCAGATATTTATAAGCCCAGGACATGCAGTGAAAACCCAGAAACTCCAGACTTCAAATTTGATGCCATTGGAAGCCACCAGTTGTGGCAAGCCACCTGTGCCATTTTTGGGTTGGCTGGGGTCAACCTTAAGATCGTCGGATCAAGCTTCCACCTTGATGGCTAGCTTTCATTGGTCGGCCCCCAGGTGTAATAGCTAGCAGTGTAGCAGTTCAAATGGCTCCCGCAATTTGCCAAGCCTCGGGTAGCCGATCTACCAGCTTGTCTCAACCCGTGTAAAAGGCTAGCTTTAGGATCTTCAAAATCAGACTACCCGAGACTGCTGCACGTGTCTACTTATGCACAAGTATTGCGCGACATGCAGAAACAATGTGCGAGCAAATATGCATGACGGGCATTGTAAGGTAGATTGAATCTACGTGTTGTTTACTTGCACTAAATTGCTTCTCCATGGTCACGCTACCCAGGGACATTGACCTGGAACGAACACCAAGATGCGGGAACAACTCCAAAACAAGTCTCGATTATATTCGCGTCTTGGCTGCCTTGACCTCTCGGTGATGTGGCCAGAGCAAGCATGGCTCATGGCCAGGCCTCCTTCCAAATCAATGGCTTCGCCGGCCTCATTTGGCAAAGTGCTTGAAATGCTCAGTGCTTTGGGTGCCAGGCACGCCCAAGCCGCGGTGGTCTATACAGTCGCTGGATCCGCGGATCCTTGGCCCCGCATTGGGCTTGGTCTTCACTCTGAGGGGCTCAAAATCGGAAGATCCGGTGCTCTGAAGATGGGCAGCGGGGCCCTTCCAGCGTGGTCACAAGTAAAGCCCGGTTAATGCAGTATGGCAGAAGAAACAAACCGCACTGTCATACTGTGAAACGGCCGTGAATGGCTACCGCTGCCACTGACCTTTCAGAACCCGTGCCGAGCTTCATGTCCAGGGAATTTACATGAACACTCTCTTCAAGTCACAAGACCTGATTGCAGGTCTAATTTTCCATGTCAACAGGCCACTGGTAGCTCCATCAATCAAATCCAGAACAGTATACAGTACGTATATGCGCGTATATGTACGTATTTTCTAGATTTATATGTTGTTTCTCGTTGTTCTTGTCGCGTGAAATGTCAAAACGCTATTCCACAGCTGTAAGCTATTGTTTGGCTCAAACATGCTGAAACGCAGTCCAAGAGCATTGTGTTGGGCCCCTCAAACGGCCCCTTTTTTTGGTTGGTCAAGCAGCTGCAGGGTTTCTCCGTGGTTTGGTCTGGTGCGGGGTCAAGGTCGACCTTCCGGCGGGCGGTTTGATCACTTCACGCGTTGGAAACCGATCGACGCCCGATCAAGATACTTGGCTTTTGAAACCCAACAAGCACAAACCTAGACCTTGGCAATTGTTTGGAAGCACACCTCAACTCTGAACAGTTTGTTACATACCCAATGGAAATATGTCTTGTGATCTGGACATTGCCTCCGTACAAATACGGATCAGCCGCGAATGGGCCGCGAATATGCTTCTAAGACATTCTAAGACAACATATGCCCAGGCAAACGCAATGACGGGACATGCCATTGAATATATATAATTGAATCCATGCATGTTTCTTGGATTCCAAAACGTGAAAGTAAAAGCAATCCCAGGTCACCCTTCGTCGCATTGTGCTTTCAAGCAGGTCATCCTACTGTCTTCAGTCATGGATTCGAGGCCGTATCAATTTGACCAGCTCGGCCGTCCGGTGGAGCATGGCAAATCTTCCTCGCTTTGCACTAATGAGAGCCGCACCCATGTAGCCAGAAAATGTCCAAAAAAGACTTGCCTTACACCCACTATTGAACTTTGGAACAAATGCGTTCTTTGGCTCAGCTCCTGGGCACATTCTCAATGTGGCAGCGAGTTTGCAAAACTGGAAGCTGTGCGATCTACTCACTGCCAAACACCATGCGAGCACTTCTTCGGCGATGACAAGTGGCTTTGATCCATTTCAGGGGTTATGTGTATGCCGATAGGGGCCAAAAGGGAACAAAGTGTGCACACATGGCTTATGTTAAAGGGTTTTTTGCACTCCGGCACTTGTTGGTCAGGAAGAGCCCAAAAATTGTACACCTGTTACATCCACATCATGGCCCGCCGCTGCTTAAGTCAAGCAGTGTTCAGCACATCCAGACTTGTTGCTGGTGGGTTGGCCATGCTTTGCCATGCAGGAGGTTTGGTCACAATCCTATGAACACAGTCTTATAAGTTCAAAAAGTCAATTCAAAAAAAATCAAGCAACCAGCTGCAGGGAAGCGTCTAAAGTCTAAAGGCCACTATGTACAAATCATGCGCCCACTGCACTGTGGCGCACCCGAAGCAAATTCATCAAACATGGGCGGGAAGCCAACTCAAGCTCCTTGCATGCACTGCTTGCAGCCTGCGGAAACCATGTGGCCGGGCTGAGACTGGGTAAACTGAGCGGGTGTGTCGGGTGGTAATTAGCTGCAAAGCTTGCCACGTTCGGCAAATACAGGTAAAATGTAAAACAGACAAAGCATGTTGGTCACCATTCAAACTCAATCAAATGGCCTTTGGAATCCAAGTGACAGAGAAATTCCGTGGCAATATTTAAAATTTGGTGTGCTCTTCTAAACTCCTGGCACTTCCACAAAATGCGACCCACCTCTTTAAATTGGAACGAAACGATGCAAAAGGCCTCAGCTTTGCATTGTCTCAGGAGGTTAGGTTAGACAAGTCCGTGGTTAAATATACTACTGACATCATGACTTTTAGTTTTATGACACATCCTTTGGCCAGGCTGTGGGCACTGCTGTGGGCTCAATCTACTCGCCATTAATTACAGACTATCCGTTTGGGCCAGCTGAGGCCACCCACTGCGCTAAGAGCTGCAGGGCGTAGTAAAGGCAAGGCTCCAATGGCCTCCGAAAACGATGGCGTTGTTGGTCCTCAAACTGCTTTAGTCCAGTGGGAGATATGGATGGTTGATGGCGGTTGCGGGTTCTCACCGGTAGAGCTCAATTTCCCTGCACTTGCAAGCAGCGGGCCTCGTCCAGCCTCCTAGGGGTAGAGAGAAAGGATGAAAATGGATGAAATCAGCAGAAAGTACTGCATAAAGTGTGTATACCGTGACTTGCATGAATGCGCTCGAGAATGATTGCTACGAAAACTAAACACACCGCTCCAGAAGAACTGCTTCAAGACCAGTTTGGCTTATTATCTGCCAGCTAAGGTCTTTCTGGCTTTGTCCGTGAGGCTTCTTGTCAATTTCAGTTTCAGAACTGCAGTAACTAGTTCGATGATGAAACATGAACGTCAATTGAAAAGATGTCTAAGCTCATCTAAGCTCCAAATTGAAATGGAATCGGAAACAATACTTTCATAAGGCTGCTTGCTCCTCCCTCCGTTTACAGGTCCTCTGTCTCTGTTGTTGCATTGACGCTTCCTGCCGGTCAGTGCGTCAGGTGCACTGCAGTGACTACGACAGTGGTACAGGAAAGGAGATCAGCCTCACACACAATAGCCTGCTACCAGTACTATCGAAGCTACTGGCCGCAGTGCAAGCAAGAAGTATTAACACGTCCGCAGCTAGTGGAGACTTCTTCAGCTGCCCCAAACTGATGTACCATTTTCCAGCAACCAGTCTGCTGATGTCTCCTTCAAACTTACAGTAGTTCCTTTGCCGCTTGTGCCTCGTCCTAAGGGTGCTGTTTCACCATCACTGGGCCTGAGTGGAGCCGTGCGATGCCTTGCATAGCCCAACCAAGCTAAACAACGCCCATCAGCTTCCGGAACCACGGTCTCCAACGAAGGAAAGGTCTTGCAAATGCTTCAAGTCTGCGAGAACCACTTCCGCGAGAACCCTCTTTTTCATTCTGCCAGGGTTTCTCCGCAGCAGCTTTTCTTGCCTGATATGCTGGGGGGATCTGGGGGGAGTCAAACGGCGAGAAGTGAATGGCCTACACTCACCGTTTCATATGAAGCGGCAAGTCAGCCGCATCCAGCTCTGCGTGCTTCGTTGAAGACAAACATCTTGTTCAGGGCCTAAATGACTGCTCTCAACCTCACCTCCATCTGAAGCAGGATGTCGTTGAGGTGGTGCACCATCTCAGTTTTCTTGCATGCAAAGGCTGTGCTCAGTGTGCTCCAGGGATAGATCACAAGAACCAATCGTAGAACTTCCGGTCGTTGATGAACTTATATAAGATTGTATATCGTTGTACAATATATAAATAAATATATATATATATAAACTCTTCAGGGCGAGGCCTTGTGCAAGGCAAACCTGCTGGCAAGCTTGAGGCCTCCCACCAGGCCATGGAGTTCAAAATGGGAGTGGCTGGGTAAAAAATGGAAACGAGATGAAACGAGCAAGCATGAAATTCAATCCATCAACTTAATCACACTCTGGTAAGCAGTTGTGCAGAGTTATGCAGTTGCTAGGGTAAAGAAGGAAGGAAAAAGGGCAAAAGAACACTTAACATGTCTTGTACAGAGAACAGAGCGGTCATTTCTGCACGAAAGGCTCTGGCGCAACCGTGGCCTCTTTGTGCCAAGGCGTTGATAGATACACGGGCTGACTGCACCGGCCATTAGCACCAGTGAAGATAGAACTCTCAGAAAGGCTCTTTTGGAAGGAGCCGGTGGCAGGCTCACTGCAACTGATCAACACATCTTTCTTCTGAGGTGTCCACATTACAGTGAATCTTCTGCTGCTGCCGGCAGGTCAAAGGGCTCGAGAAAGAAGCCCGCCGCTGCCTGGAAACCGAGGTGGATGCCAAGTGGCACTGATCAACATTACATATGAAACCTATTAAAACCTAATAGCGATGGCCTCCAACCTATAGAAACCGATGATCTTGTTCCCGAATTCCGATCATCTGGCCTCCCCGTGGCTGCCTCTCATTGGGGTCTGCATTGCAAGAAGCTCCTCTACACCTTTGGGTGGCTCACCTGAGGCGTCCCATCGAGCAAAACGGATCAGGTTCCAAACGGATGTCCTGGGTGTCCTACACGGATCGAACTGGCATGACTGACTGGTGCTTAGTAAGGAACGAGTGGGAACGCACCCAACAGAATCCCTCTCTCTCTCTCTGTGTGCTCATTCACTCATTCCCAACCAAGCACCGGGTCAAAGAGATGAAGGGGGTTTAGCGCCTCGAACACATGGAAGTGGACGGCATGGACCCTTGAATTACTATGTTCCTCTACGAAAAGGGAGGGTTTCATGTGGTCTCCTATTCCATGTTAGTGAGTCGGACTGCAGCACATGTGGCAGTCCGCACCGTCATCTCTGCATCTTTACCGACACAGATGCATGTCGTCCATCCTTCGTATCCTTCGTGCGCATGGCCAGCGATCCTTCTTGGGAGTCCGATCGATCCGATGGACCAAGGCCTCAGTGACCCGGGTCCGCCAAGGCACGTGCAAAGGCCAGCCAACCCCGTCGCCGGCAGAGCGCCAGTGTGCCATGAAGGCACACTCCCACCACCTGCGACACGTGTGCCAGGGTGCACCCTTGAACTCCATACTCCCATGGATCGAGTGGACGCGTCATGATTGACCAGCCAAAGTGGTGGGTCAAACACGGCCTCATGAAGTGGTGACCATTCGAGGGACCACTGGCCGTCCAGTTCCTACAATATGGACGCTAAGTGGCGGGAGCAGCTGTGAGCGTAATGATCTGGAACCAATCGCCACGAATGAAGGGCAAAGCTAGCAGCACGAAGCAAAACCTTAGTTCAACGACCACTGGTTGGCTGCGTGTCATCAATGTGTAGCAGCGTGGCAGTGTAGCGGCAGAACTTCAGCTGCCGGATGCCTGGTCAACACGCATGCAAATGAGCAATGCAAGCATTGAGTCAAGGCCAAGGCACACCATCGGCAAGAAGAGCATGGCAACACAGCCACCAAACGAAGACAACCTTGACAGCAAGCGCACGCAAACAAGGGTACTCGCTCTTGGCTTGGGATGCTGCTGCTACAACAGTTGTTCAACTTAGCGTGCATCGTGTTCCAAAATGTTCTGGCACATTCTGCTTGAGCACTTTGCAACAACACTAGCTATGTGAGAGACTGCCTTGAAGTGACATAAGAAACGGCAGATTGACCCTGTTGAGGCTCTCCCTCTCATCACTCGGAGCTGGACGGCACGCGGAACGGTCGGGGCAGCGTAGGATGGGCCCGCCGCAGCTGCAAGAAAGCCTCACCATGTCACCAAGGCCAATGACCAAAGGGGTGGTGCCAACGAAGCAGCGTGGGAGGACCTACAACCATTCTAAAGTGAAGCCTTTTTCAACGTAAGCAAACCGCAAAGGCTCGGCCTAGATCCTGTTTCAACGTGATCTACAATCAGGTGACTTCATGAAGCAGCTGCCAAGTCACCATAAATTCCAAGAGTTGGGCTTGGCAGTAGATACCTGGGCAACAGTCTCTGTTCTACTGAGTCACTAGGGATTGAAGTGTTCAGGCATCCCACGGCATTGCTGTTATGTCTCTCTTCGGGCATCGCTGATCAATTCAAGGCGTTTCACAAACAACAGAGTCAATTAACAGTTGAAGCTGCTCAAGAAAATTCGCAATATATAACTAATAATATCATCGAAACTAAAAGAAATGCACAATGCTTGGGATTTGTCCGAGCACGTTGCCCCAAGGTGCTTTCCCTGACAAAGCCAGTGCATTGGCATTGGCAATGTCGCCCAATCCTGCAAGCCTCTTTTTCTCTCCGCACCACGTGGCTGGTCCCCCTTGTCTCAGCAAATGGCTGGCGCACAGGACGCGATCTTTGGCCAAAGCTCAGCACATTCTTTGGCCACAGGACCCTGGATCGCAGAGCCCTTCCTGAGCCATATTCAAAGTCGTCAAACTGTATCAGCTTACAGGCTGCAACACGGTGTCCTGACATATTCGTATCCTACTTCAACACAGCAAACCTATCCTGGCACAGCCAATGGTCTATTTAAAAAGCATCGATTGCCCCCAACAGGAGCCTCTGAAAGCAACCCAAGGGTCATCTCACCCTTGTCATTAACGATCACACCAGCATTGTCCTCAAAGTAGACGAAGACTCCCTCGCGACGTCGCCAGGCCTTGTCAGTGACGCATCACAAGGTCTAAAAAGATTCCCAAAAGGCGCAGGGCAACGTCTTCCGTGTTTCATTCTTCACTCGCCTTGCCTTGTCACCCAACCCCATCCATGCACCTCTCTATGTTCACCCACCACATCTCCTGTTACAAGATGTTACAAGTATGACCTTCCCCCCCCGTATGTGCAATTGGCAATGGCCTTCTTCTGGCGGATGACCACTCCCTTCAAGACCTTCTTTCGGAGCTCGGGCTTGCCCTTCTTGACGCTGCAAAGCACCAAATCACCAGGAGAGCAGTTCCTCCGCGCTAAAGCACGTCACATGACCGTGCATGTTTTGCGGGAGAACTGAGGCCGGCCCATCAGATGTCCCTGCTTTGCACCGTACAGAGACCAAACAGCATTTTAAACATATTGGATTGGAGGTGATTAGCGCGAAATTGTCAGCGAGTAATGTTCATTCCAATGTTTCATATTTTTCCACAATGCCATCAAAAGAAAGCTCTTCTAAGCTTTCAGGACAAGCTCGGGAGCTTGTTCAAGCGCCCGCCAATGCCAATGACTGCAATGATGTAGAGATTCCTTACATCGCTGTGGAATAGGAGTCAGGAGCTTCTCAAAGACCCAAACCAACACGCTGCGTGAATACCAATGAAATGTGTTGCAACCCCTCCCAAAACGAACGCAGCACAACCTCTCTATGTAATGCACTGGCCAATTGAATGAATCAAGTTCTTCGGAATGTTTCCTTTCAGGAGGCACACCGGAAGGTCCACGCCCCTGATTCTGTCTTCTTCTGCATCATCTGCAGAAGTTTCATGGCATGGACGTCCCGCGCAGGCATTGAAGGTCCCATGCCGATCCTTTTGATTCTTGCTGCACAGACTTTGCACGTCGTCTGTTGTCTGCATGTTCCTTTCAAAACGACTTGCATTTTCTTGATCAACTCCGAGGTTTGTGTGGAAATCTCCTGTGACTTGCGCCAATATAATCCAGATTTGGGATTGACCCTTGGGTCTTGGAGTCGTGGATTCTTTGCAGACTTGCAGGGCAGGGCTTCAGTTTACGTAACGTGATGAGACTCTGACTTAGACCATCACAAGTAGAAAGTCATCTGTCTGAGGCTATGCAGAATTGAGTTTTCCACTGCGTCAGCTCTTCCTGAACTCTGGTTTGCAAACCAGCTGCTGCATGCCACTTCTTTAGGAAATGATGGCTTCTCCTCATTATATATTTTCTTTTTGCTGCTATGTAGTTTGTTTCAGCGGTTCTGTCTTACTTCGGAAGGCAGGAAGGAAGGGAGGGAGGGAGGCACGGACGGAGGGAGGGGGGCAGGGAGAGAGGGAGAGAGAGAGAGAGAGAGCGAGCGCCTGCGCAAAAAAAACACCCCAAATTCAGACCAAGTTTCTTGGCTCCACTGTTGTCCGCACAGTTCAGGAGCGTGGCGACGCTGCAACCCTGCGCCATGCGCATCTTGCATTGCTTGGCTGCGCGGCCCTTCTTCATCGCTATGGCACCAAGATGAAATCAAAGTGCGTCGATGGGGGGCTTGGGCCGGGCATGCAGCCAGGGTAGTCACAAGCTTGCTTGCAGTAGATTGCAAAGAAAAGCAATGAAAGCCACCAATGAAGCACTGTAACAACACTTCCCATCTGTTCATATGCTGACAAGCTGCCGTTGAGCAAGTCCTGAGCATTGACGCCTTCAATCCTACCACATACTCTTGACATCTCTTGACTGGAGCCTAGCTTACTTTGGCGACCCAGGCACTACGATGGAGACGAAGTCAGAGCTACTCAGGGCCAAGATGATGACCAGCCCAGTGCCCAAGCCCACAGAAGGTGTGTTGTAGCCTGGGCCGGTGGAGATTGCAAGACTCAAATACAAGTCCTGAAAGTGATATCAGGCATGCAAACTTGACATACTAATGGCAATGCTGGAGTGAGCATGCATCCCACCATGAGAGAGCGTGCATCCCATGTCATGTGGGTCGGTCGCGTGGGTCTTTTGTTTTACCACCTCAGCCGCTGGTCTCCCGTGAGTCCGAGATTTGGTCCATCAGCTGCCGCAGGGCCAAAGTGGCCTCTGGCATTCGCACCAGCATGTCCTGGCCAGAGAACGCTGTCCCATCGCGTCTCATCAAACGTGGGCGTGCACGGAAATCCGCCAAAAGACTTTCATGGAAACGGGTCGAAGCAAGATTGGTTTGGAGGTCCC